CCATACCTTGACTTAGATCAGCCCAAAGGTTGCTTCAGGGTTTGATCTGTGTAGATAAAATCAAGGCTTCAATAGTAATAAACATTTTCCTTGTTTTATTTTTATATTATTTTGGTTTGTTTTCTCAGTTTTCAAGGACCTCCTGGCAGTAGAGGTTGCCAACAGCAGTTCAATTGCCGTCATAGCAACAAGCAGATCACTTGATTCTCTCCATGCTGCATTACAGTCAGGGCATGGTTCTCATATTTTCCAGTGCTGTGTAGAGCTTGGTGCTTTGAGTGAAGAGCAAAGAGAAGAAGTGCTCTCTGTAATAATCAAAAGAAGGTTTGAGAATGTCAGCCAACAAGAGCTAGATGCTGTCTTAAAGTAAGTGTGTGTAATCGTGAATTATTGAACAGATTATTACTGTTTGCCATCAAAGAATCATTCTTTATTATCAACTTATGTAGCACAGGTATAAATTGATGAATTTTTAACTGCTAGTTTTYTTTAGAATATTTATGATTCTAAAGCTATGACATGCACTTTCTTTTCTACATTTGAAAAAKATCAAGTATAATCTCTCACCCAGGGTGCTTTTATAGATGAGTTTAAATATTTTGTTGCAGATCTGTTRCTCAAAAGTCAGAGGGATTCTCACCCAAGGATCTTAGTAGACTAACTGACAAAGCACTGCATTTCTCTGTTGTGAGAAAAAATAATAAAACTAAAGGTAGGTAAAGTCTATATAGTTCAAGCGTAGGTCAAGTCATAGTTAATACAGGGGACTTTGGGGAATCATGGGTGTTGTAGTGGAAATGCACCTCTCACCTTTGGGGTTTCAAGTTCAATTTCTAGTCTCTTTCATCACATAGGAAAAGAGTTTGTTTAGTCCATCCCTCGTAGTAGTTGTAGACAAGCTAATCTAATGAATGATCTTTTTCAGAACCAAGTCAGCCTTGCCTTCTTCTGGATGATTTCCACCAAGCATTATCAGGGTTCATACCAGCATCTCTTCAAGGAGTCCACCTGCACAAGGCTGGGGAACTGAGTTGGTCTGATGTTGGAGGACTGCAAGATGTCAAAGAAGCTCTGAAGGAGACTCTTCTTTGGCCCTCAAAAGTAAGCTTTATGATTCAGGGTTTAATAATGAAAAAATGATCCTGATATAAGCACTGGATGCCACTGCTGCTGCTGCATTTACTGCTACTGCTGTCACTACTACTGATTTTGTTGCTGCTTCAGCTGCTTCTGCTGCTTCTACTTCTGCTGCTGCATTTACTGCTGCTGCTACTGTTGCTGCAACTGCTGTTTCTACTTGCTACTACTGTTGTTGCTACTGATGTTTTTACTTGCTACTGCTTCCGTTACTGCTACTAGTACTGCCAGTACTTTACCTTTATCTCTTCCAATTGGAGCTCAATTACATTCCTTCACATTCGCCTTCTTTGAAGAAAAGCTATTCAATTATTATCAGAATATTTAAAAGGAATGAAACCCTAATAAATATTGTTGTTTATTTTGYATTAATCTTAGTACAGAAAGATATTTTTAAAATGTCCTCTTCGCCTTCGTTCTGGTCTGCTCCTCTATGGTCCCCCAGGAACTGGGAAAACATTGCTTGCTGGTATTGTGGCTAAAGAAAGTGGGCTGAACTTCATTAGCATCAAAGGACCTGAGCTGTTGAGTAAATACATAGGATCCAGTGAACAGGCTGTCAGAGATGTTTTTGCAYGGTATATCATTATCTATTAATTTTATTATTTTATTTTATTTTATTATAATTTTTTTATTTTATTTATTATCTAATAATTTCCTTTGCTCAATGTACTCTTTCTTAACACTCTTTGGGATTACCTACCAACTCTCCTCTTCGCAGAGAAAATCCAGGGGATATTCCTAAGCCCTCCACTGTGGGGTACTCTAATGCCACCAGAGAAAATGGGGTGCCAACTCCCCATCCTTAGAAAAGGGGTGCACTCTTAACCCCTCCACTGAGAGAATAGGGTATTGTGTATTACTCCACAAGAAGCCTCAAAAATAAGAGGCCAAATATTCTAGCTAATATAAAGTGTAACATCTTTCACTTTTGTCCACAGGGCACAGACAGCCAAGCCATGTATTTTGTTCTTTGATGAATTTGACTCTCTTGCTCCTCGGCGTGGTCACGACAGTACAGGGGTGACAGACCGTGTTGTTAATCAACTGTTGACACAGCTAGACGGAGTGGAGGGCTTAGAGGGAGTTTATATACTTGCTGCAACAAGCAGACCAGGGCTTATTGACCCAGCTTTGTTACGACCGGGAAGACTGGATAAGTGTGTATACTGCCCTATTCCTAACAAGGTATTGATTATTATGCTATTTTCTATCGATCAATACAGCTCAATTAATCAATGTGTCCATTTTATTCTATCCATCYATTCATTTTATTTGTCCAAACCCATCCACCCATTCATCTATTTAGGCATTTTTTCATTCATTCATCCCTTCACTAAGACATATTTTCTATCTATCACTTTATTTCATTCATTCTTTAATGCCATCCATCTATTCATCTGTTTTTCAATATACTTTATCCTTCTATCAAACTACCCATCCCATCCATCCATCCCACCTATCCATCCCATCCCATCCATCCATCCCATCTATCCATCCCATCCATCCCATCTCATCCCTCCTATCTATCCATCCATCCCATCTATCCATCTCATGCATCCATCCCTCCATCCCATCTATCAATCCAAACACATCTATCTATCCCATCCCATCCAATATATCCATCCCATCCCATATATCCATCCCATCTATCCAGCCATCCCATCTATCCATCCCATCCCATCTATCCATCCCCTCCCATCTATCCATCCATCCCCTCCCATCTATCCATCCATCCAATACATCCATCCCATCCATCCATCCCATTCATCCATCCCATCTATGTATCCATTCATTAATTTGGCTCCATCCATTCATTCTTCAATCTCCAAGTATAAATATGGTACTACAAACCTGATTTTTATTTAGTTTTAAGCTCTCATCCAAAATGAAAAAAGGACAAAAAGTGAATGACAGATTAACAAAAAGCATACTTATTTTTTAGTCTGAAAGACTAGAGATTCTCCTAGCATTAACACACAACATTCCTCTTGCCGACGATGTTGACCTGCAAACATTAGCAGACAAGTGTGACCACTTCACTGGAGCTGACTTGAAAGCACTTCTATACAATGCACAACTAGAGTCCATCCACAGATGTACCAGCAAGCTTAAACTGTATGGAAATATATTCAACACRCAAGATGAAACAAAACAACTAGGAAATCCAAAAGAAGACAAAGATGAGATGAGTGGACAGCTGTCAGTAATTCAGGAAAGTTTTTTGGCTTTTAGTATCAGTGAAGGAAAGAAAACATTATCAAGAGAAGATTGCGACACAATTAAAACTGAGGTTAGGATGGCTCATGTAAACATGTTTCAGGATAGTATTAGGATATTACTAATAAATAATACTAGGTTTCCATGTTGTTTGTTTTTAGCTGTCAAATGTTTTGTTTTTTTATATTCCTTCTTACAAAGTGTTACTTTTATTTAACAGCTTGCTGCTCTTGAGAAGAAACATTCTGCACTTCAGACTATGGTGAGTGAAACTAAATAAATGAATGAATGGATGGATGGATGAATGAATGAATGAATAAATGAATGAATTCATCCATCTGTTTGTTCGTTTGATCGTTCATTCACTCAATYGATTATTTATAAGAAAAACATCTTCCTCTCCAGAGTGAAACCATTGATTATCATTCATCCATTCAATCAATCGATCAATCATCTTATCAATCGATCAATCATTTTATCAATCCATCAATCATCTTATCAATCAATCAATCAATTTGCCTATTAATTAATATACAAATTAAATTTTATTCATCAGAAAGCTTAAGAGAAGTATGCATGTATTGTAAACCCTAAAACATTTATTTTCCCACAGGCAAAGTCAGAAAAAAAGGAAAATATAATATATATCACCCAATCAGACCTTGATAGAGCAGCTTCTACGATGAGGCCATCTGTGTCTCCAAAAGAGAGACTCGGCTATGAAAACCTGTAAGTTTTGGTGCCACTTTTTCTGTATGGTAATAAGCCCTTTTGCTTGGGCATAATGTCTTTTCAATAGCCCACCTCTGAGATATGCTTTGATTGTCACGCACAAAGGCTTCAGTATGAGGCTACRTGCTAAATGCTCAGTCATTCGTGACAGGCGGTAAAAATAAATTTAATTTAGCATGTAGCCTCATACTGAAACCTTTCTGTGTGACAATCAAAGCATATCTCGGAAGTGGGCTTTTCAGAAGATGTGTTAATTCCCTAGAGTATTATTTCTTTGCTTACAATTGCAAGAAGGCACATGAATATGTATATGACTTAAGCAAAGAATCTTATTCTCAAGGGAATGACAGCTGGTCTGAAATAGACCCCTTGCAGCACTTTGAAATGCAGCTCAATCTGGGAGACGAAACAATAGGTTCCAGTACTCAGGAGATTAAAAATTTTTCATTTTGTCCCCCAGATGGAGATGCTTTGATGTGAGATGCATTGATTTCCTAGAGGAATTGTTCTGGGGGACAAAACAATAGGTYGTCTTTTCTTGTGCAAAAAAAAAAATTCATTATTTTGTCCCCCGTACGATTCCTCTCACTCGGGACTGAGTGCAAGGGGTCTATAGAAAAACATTACATGCAAGGTCTATTTGCTACCTTATTTACCATTGTCTTTCTTATCTCAGGTATGACTCTTTTGTCAAATCACGAGGTGGTAGCTTCACAAAGAATCTACCACTGGACAGCAAAGCCACACTAGCCTGATGAAAACCATACACCCACAGAAAAGAAACTACCTACGCTTGAAGAAAATTTTGCAACAAAGTCGTTCAATTTTGATTATATTTTTGAACTCAAACAAGCCTGTCATACAAAAATCACATTTATCATTAATTATTATAGACTGATAATATTTAACGTGCATAAATTTTTAAGCAAATTTGAATAAAAAATTTACATTTGAAGCAATTTCATCCACAATTTCTCCAGAAAAATATTGTTCTTTACTCTTCAAGTTTTTTCTTAAGACAATATGAATACTTTCTAAATTATTTTATATGTTACTTTGCTTTGGATTTTGTCTTTTTTCTTTTACCAGTCCTGTTTTTATCTGGGTTTGGAAGAATTTGTTTTATGACAATAGGCTCAAAAGAAATACTTATTTTTCCAAGTTCACTTTTGTGCTCCACATTTTTTCTTTCTTTCTGTGCAAAAATTTGTCCTGAATTTCCTTCCTTGCTTTTCGTTTTGTTGTTCAGTTTCGAATTTTCAACTGTAATATTTTGAGACTCTTTCTTTTTGTTATCTTGTATTTCTTCATCCAACTGCCTCAAAGTTTCTTTTGGTTTTTCCTCTTCAACTACATTTAGTTTAACATCTTTGTCAGCTTTTTGTTTCTTGTTAATAACACTATCTTCTGAATTCCCAGATTCATCAGAATGCCTTCTTTTTACCCCTGCTTGTTGACCAGCCTTGTTTGCTTGACCTTGTATAGTACAGCCCTCGTTACTAAATGTCTCCTGTTTAGTCTCTTCAAATGGTTTTAGCCATGGAACATTTATTTCAGGGACCATCGGAATTATAAACTCCACCAGTGAGTCAAATGCTGTTTCTTTATCTTGTTTCTGTCAATGGAGAAAGTCATTTGCTGTTAGCAAAAAAATATCAGGGGGGGGGAAGAGTCCAAAAATCCAAGAAAGGAGGAGGTTTGATGAATCTCACTGTTGACTATGCCAAACAAAACCAGAGGTGGGGCATGCTCCCAAGGAAATTATTGAAATATGGTTTGCAGAAATGCTATTTATCTAAACCAAAGGGAAGGGGTGAGGCCCAATCAGCAGCCCTAAATCCACCCATAATAATTGTTTACTGTTAATTTACCTTGAAACCTAGAGCAGCTGTCTTATTATACTGCAGTAATGGACCCAACACTTGCCCAAGATCATGAAGACCAAGGGTTGGTACTTGACGAGTTGCCCCTAGCAACATGAAATGGTCTGTGACTGAGCTTGGCTTAATGGAACGGCATGCCTTAGAACGCAATTTGAAGGTATTTACAATGTCCACAAATAACACTTTTGGTAGAGCATATGACGTTTCATTGTCAAACACAGTAAAGTATGAAGATTGGAATGAAATTTAAGGGGGAGGGGAGGGGGTAGAAAGTGGAAGAAAGGAGAGGAGAAATATTGGCCCAAAGTAATAAACAACTTACCAAAACTAATTTCAACTCATCTTTTTCGTATCCCCTAGTAACTTCATTGATTCCAACAGCAAGACACTTCCTCAGTTCTTGCTTTTCTTTCATCTGTTGTATCAGTATCTTGTCTTCCTCTGTCAATGCGTCTTTATCAGTAGTTTCTAACTGCTTTCTACGCGCTTTAGAAACGGATCTTCTACTCAAAACTGCTGGAAATGTCCTAAAATTATGAAAAAATATAAGCACTAGCTCTATTCAATATCCATAACCTCTTAACTCTGAGTTGTACCTTCTTATTTCGTTAATAATGGAATAATACACTTGCTTTTCGATTGTGGGCCTGCAAAAACAAAAACAATAAAAAAACATGACCATGTTCAAATTTAAAACATAARCAAATTTTACTTGGTCATAACATTATTTATAGTGTATTTAATACTGTACCATGATAATACGTAAGGATTTCCTAGTGAGTTCTTTACGCTAGCCTTTTTTCGTAGACTACCTTTTTCAACCTTGTTGGCCGCCATCTTGGCATGTACCACAGGAACCCCATCTTAGCCATCTTAGTCATGTACCACAGGAATCCCAGCTTCTAAGTATCACGATTCATAGCTCAACAGAAATTCCAAGTCTCTGCATTGCTATTCTCAGATTTTTCCACTTTCTCGATGGAGGACAGCACTCCCAGGACCATAGCAATAGCACATAACATTTAGGAAGGGGGAGAGGGGAGGGAAGGGGAGGTGGCTGGCCCCAAAATGTAAGGACAGACACAATATTCCCAATTGATGGTTTTCAACCATTCCCAAGAGAATTAAATTACAAGACACGACGGCCATGTTGGAGGATATAACAAAAGAATTCATTAACAATTCTTTTGTTAAGTTCCTCCAACATGGACGACGTGAAAACCATCAATACTATAGCTATATCTGTTTTCTTTTTTTTATTTTCCCACTTTGTTACAAAAAAATTAATTTACAAATTGTGTGACTGTATATTTATGGGTCACAAATGAAATGAATGAAGCCTTGTGTTTTAGATACATGCAATAATAGTAAAAAATAGAATCACCAAATTGGTGTTGGTAAGTTGTTGGCCAACAGCATAACCCATAACCTGCCATCAAGCTAATAATCAATATCTGCCTAAAAACCGCACACAGCCTACTGAAAATCTGTTGATAACCTAGTATACTGACAACCTACTGACATACTACAAACAGCCTATCAACAAAAGCTACTGAAACCAATTTTGGGGGTCCTATTGTTTATTATTACGACCATTGTTCCGTATTTTTGTATGTTAGATATAAAGGAAAATTATGCAGCTTTCTATATAGTCTCCTACGCAGCTGCTATTAGCGTCATCACACAACTCACCTAAGTAGCTAAATTAGGAGCTTCTTAGGGGAGTGAGTGTTGTGTGACAACATTAATGGCAGCTGCGTAGAACTACTTTCTATATTTCTATTCYCTAATTAATCAATTGATTGACTAATTAATTACCTAATTAATAATCAGCATTAACAATTTAATATCAATTTGGTTATTACATTATTGTACTATGATTTCATTAAGTATATAAATACAATATTATTTAACAATAAGTGCTGTCGCAAGTGTTTATCAATATAATTTATGTAGCTTGCATAATACTGATACAGAGAGCAAATATTGTTAACTATGATAGGATAAATCCATTACCATGGTCTTAAAAGAAATATATACCTTATAATAATTTTAAAATAATTTTTTAATCACTAAACTGATTTATTATATCTAGTGGCCTTTACTGAAATTCACTCCCTCCCAGCAATCTGTTCTCTTTCTTCCGTCGACAGCTTGCTTGCCCAAGCAGAATAAATATAGGTAATAAACACAGTCCACATACTCCTGCCATGACATACGCTACTGTTAACAGTGCAGTATCTGAACTTTCGGTTTCTATGTATTCACAGTCTACAGGATCTGAAATAAAAGAAATTATTTTCAACAACTGCTATTGATGAATCTAATTGTATCTATCTAAGCTTGAAAATCTAAAAAAAATACTTAACGTTCTGTTCAGTAGTACAGTATGCAGCAAGATATGTATGCATGAAAGAAGTATGAAGAGAAGAATGAACTATGGCATTAAAACAAAATATTTTTCACAACATTAACGTCACTGCAAACAAAAGTTTCAAGTCACTATGCAGGCCCATTGCTAGGACCTTGAAAGGGTAGGTTCGTTTTTCTACCAATCTTAATTTTGCCATTTCTTAAAAAGCTAAAATAGCGCTAAACATTATTTCATACTTCTACAAAGGTGGAGAGGGGGAGTTGGTTTGAACCATCAAAACAACCCTAATGCATGCCTGCTTTAAGATTATGTGAAAGATTAAGATACTTAACTTAAAGCAGGGCAAAGTACTATTTTACAGTGAATGCTTTTGCCAATAAGTGAATTAATCTTCTTATAAGATTTTGTTTTACCCAGCTGCTTGAAAAGGTCTTTTTGGAGGGATGGAAAATTAACCTTTTCTTATAGGATCATACATTAATTAATAATGAATACAATACTTTAACTGTGGCATACCTCTGCTAAAGGGACCAGAAACTTCTGACCTCGGRTTCAATCTACCTTCAGCTAAGAAAACAAACGATATTTAATATGTGTTAGTTATCAGCCTGTGAGAGCCACATGTCATGGAAGGTACAGGAAATGGAAATGTTTAATGATTAATGTCGATAACTCGCATTATCACTGTTTTCATTGCTACCTGCTGATCGAGACAACAGTTAGGACATGGAAACCGAACGATACAATAACATCTATCAAATAAATCATTACACTAAGTTACCCAAGTACTTTCTCATGGATCACATGTAAAGTACTTTTATGGACTCTAATAAATTTTTGATTGATAGCAGTATATAGCCTGATTTCCACGTTGTGACYGTCTTCTCATTCAGCATGTAGCAATGAAACAGTGGTAACTTGAACTCCAGCACTTTTGGTGACATTACGTACCTCCACAAGTGGTTGCTGCAAACCCAACTTGAACATTCTCTCTATCAAACACTACGTAAAAGCCTTCCATTATTACTGCACCAATCACAGTACCTAAAAATAACGTAATGACAGTATGTTGATCATTCATATTTTCCTTATCAAGATATAAACTGTGCAGTTTAAAGTTACCTTTTTCAGCCTTTGTGATGGCAAATTTATAGCAATGTTGACCCAAAAGTGGTCCATGTTCAATGGTTTCTCTTAGGTAGAGCTGCAACAGAGGATAAAATGTACTTTATTTATTGTCATATTGGCATATTCTACAGGTGCTGACACACAGTTCAACAGTGCATGCAACATTACACACAACTGTTGTAGCGTGTGTCTACCCCAAAYTTGTTGCACACAACATTACATGCAAGAAATCTGAAGTTGAATCACGCTCTACTCTTGCAACATTGCGCACAACAAATTTCATCATGTGGACATGGCTGAAACATTACCTGCAACTTTTTGAAATTTCCAGCCAATCAGCTTGCACCAAATTTATAACTGCTGACCAAATATCTTAACATATCAGACTGACACAAGCGATGTTGCATAATTTTGTTGCAATGTGTGTCACCCCAATTCAATTTTGTTGCTTGCAATGTTGCGTGCAATGTTGCACCATGTGTCAGCGCCTTAACAGTGTCTCTCATCAGAGTTTTTTAATTTTTTTTATATAAATAACTTTTATTCCATCCATCAAAAAAGAGAAAGAGAAAATTATTTACAGATAAATAAATATATTAACATAATTTTGTATCTTTACAAAATCAAATGTCAGGAGGAAACGTTTTAGAATTCATTTAACATTTTCAGTACTGTGTACAAAAAATTTTTAATTTTGTCTATTGAAAGTCTAAATCTAATGCCTTTCTTATATTACAGAATTTTTTGAGGTGATATTGTTTCCTATCATTTTTTAAGGAAACAATATCACCTCAAAAAATTCTGTAATATAAGAAAGGCATTAGATTTAGAGTTATATAAGTTTACTTGTTAGCAATCTCATTCCCAGAGCCTTTATTTCTTAATATGCATGTTTGACGAAATAAGAGCAGTAAGAAATAAGGGCTCTGGGAACAAGATTGACTTGTTAGGAAATGAAGAAAGGTTTTCTCATCATCTCTGTTTGCTAGCAGAAATAGTTGCATGCCAGAGTGGGAAAAATACAAGCATCCTCATTCACAGAAGAAAATTTTGATTTTTTCCTCTACGTTTTTATATTAACAAGAATAGTGAAGCACAACTTTGTTTCTGCTCCCCCTCCCCCCCTATYGCACCACACCACTGCCACACACACAGAACACTGCAGCACAAATTTTACTTCCTAGCTTTGCTGTGGCTGTTAGTCAAGTCTAGACTGGTTCATACAGATTACGTTAATGTAACAAGTGAAATAAAGACAAAGTCAGCAAGCTTTTATTTTCTTTAGAAAGACTCTAAGTATACATGTAAAGTATTAAATAACGGCATCGTAATTTTTGGGGGATTGAGGTTTACCTGTGGAGGTATTTTTAGTCGGAACTCTTTTGACGCACCAATAGATGATAAAAGAGATAKAGACATATCAGGGAACTCTTCCCACGGCGTCTTGTCATAATTCCAGCACATCATTTGTCTACCATACCAAAAGTCATCCGGAACGCCAAGCTATACCACAACAAACAGACAAACTTGAATTAATAGGATGCAAAAAGGGAATGGTAAATGCTTTGGAGCCATGTATATATTGAATTGTGGATGCATGTTGGAGAAAACTTGTTCTGAATGGTGAAAAGAATAGAAGAGCTTTGGAATTTTTCAGGACAGATTTCTTATGCTATTGGCAATATTACTTACCCTGTCAAACTTTCTTAGTCTGTCCAAAATAGAATTAAACACTTGCTCAGAAACTCTTAGGTTTGTCGTTCCACTATCTACGATAGTCTTGTCATAATTGTACTACAATGAAAATGCATGCTTTTATTAGTACAACTGATAATCATTACACTACCTGTTTCATTAGTTGATTGCCTCAAGTAAGTAAGAATCAATTAATGTTATAGCTATGGATATCACTTACCTTCTTACAGTCTAAGGCAAGGCTTTCTCCATCTACAGCGATATCTGTTATAACTACTTCATAATACCATTTCTTGACGATTGGAGTGTATAAAAGATCACCCTTATAAAGTTCATCATCTATGTCACCAAATACCTGAGAAATATGAGAAATTGTAAATATCGAATGTTTAAGAAAAATAAATGAATGAGAATAAGTGAAGATGAAAATGAATGAATGAATGAGAAAAGGAAACAATGAGAATAAAAGATTGAATGAAATAATTGTAAAAAAATATATGCATAACATATTTCCATTTTGCTTACAGTAAATTGGGTAGGTATTTAAAGTTATTCACTAAACTATGCAGCTTTTCAGTTTCCAAAAGCTAAGAAAAAGATGTTTTAATGTTGTAAATTGATTCTTYGAAGAAGAAAAGAGAAACAATGAAGTTAGATCAAGGATGGCATAGCTCAAGTTTAATAGACCAATCCATTGCAGTACGTCAGAATGCAGCTCAATTTGGAGGAAATAACAATAGGTCTCCAATTTTCATGAGATTGAATATTCTTTTGTTTTGTCCTCAAATTTAGCTGCTTTGATGTCACATGCAAGGGGTCTGTTATTGAACTCTACATCACATGTTAACGCTAGTAGAGTTTKTTTTTTTTTTTKTGTGTAAAGGCTTTCATTTTCTCATTTTTCCAACTCCAACTTTTAATTTCTTTAAACATTACCATAGTGCCAGCTACAGTTGGTTCGGCTGAGGGCTCTATTTCACTGCTACCACACAGCTGCATTGAAAAGGAGTCCTTTTGTACAGCTTTTTCCCTTACAAACTGGTCAAATACTGGAACAACRCTAGAATCAGGCTGTAGAAAAAACAGTTACTTAATCAGTATTTTTATACACTTAAAGAATACCGTCCTGATGATAATGTATGGATCTTCAGATGGTTTGACTTTAATAGTCATTAAAGATTTGTGCGGCTACGAACTCTATTTTGACCTGCATGGCAATAGTAGGCTTAGGTTTATGGCATCTAAGTGGGGCAGTAACAATGCAATGCTTTTGCATGACAAAGTATTTCAAACTAGAACAATTATTTGGTTCTGCCTTTCAACTAGACTGCTGTGAAAATCCTCAGTATGAACTTACAAATACATTGATGTTATTATTAGTTGGTTATTAGTTGGGAATGTATGGGTGCGTTGAACACAGCGAGTGAATAAGAAGGAAACTTAAACACAGTGTTAAAAAGTTTGGAAAATGCTCAAACGTCAGTAGAGTTCCCAACTTTTTTATGTGGTGTCTTATTTTCTTCCTTACTCATTCTATGAACTTACCTTTGCCAATCTAGCATAGCCAAGCCCAAGAATCCCCTCCCACATGGAGCCATTGATAAAAAAGTTCTCTGACGACAAAATACTAGCAACATCTACTCTGACCGTAGCATTAGGACCTTCTATGAAATTCAAGAGATCAGAGCCCAGCTCTCCTTCCCAGTTGCCTTGAGTATATGGAACAGAAACTACTGTGTTTAGATCCTTGTATGTGGTTGATCTATGAACAAATATGTAGGACAGCTCAGTATATAACTATACAACTGCTACTATTGGTTAGTAGCAACCTATGACTATATAGTGAGAGGTGAAACATTGCAGTACTCACAATTAGTATAATTTAATTTTATAATTTTTAGTTATGAGTGATGTTTTGAAAATTTTCAAAATTGGATGAACCTTTCAGGCTAGTATAATTTGAAAAATCATGAGTGTCTACAAATTCCAAATTGTACGGAACATTGTGCAATTTTTCGTTTATGATACACTCAACAAAATTGAGGAAATTAATTGGGACTCTACAGAGTATAATTTGGGATTTAATTGTACTCCTCTTGTCCAATCAGAATTGACTAATTTTAAGTGTATTATTAATTAAAAAGAATGTAAAAATTCATGGTCCATTCAAAGTTTTAATGAGCTTTTCATGGGATTGTAATGGRATTGGTTTTCGCAGTGGCTTCCCTAATGGATGAATGCAATATGCTTCCTATATCTATCTCTATAATGTCCCTATTGATGCAGAACTCTTCCCCAGGTGATGGTGGTAGTGGTGGGGGTTAAGCAAGCAATAACATTTAATTTAATTTAATGCGTGCGAACATATGCCATGGTTTGATCGCGTTTTTCTTTGTCAATTGTAAGGTTTTTTCATTTCCCTGAGGATGGCCAAATAGGCCGAAAGCTCGGATTACATTTATAAAATCTATGGTTGATAAAACAAATTATTATGAATGTAACAACAACCAACAAGGAACTATTTGATTTAACATTCTTACTTTTCAATATGAAAATAATACGGAACATAGGGGTGAGGTGAAGCTGCCACAGCAAAGTTACTACTTCCTGTATCAACAAGAACATTAATCTGAAACCAAACACAAAGAATTGAGTTAACATTAAAATAATGGAATATTCTAGCAACCAGGAAGGATGTAGCCTGAAAAAATTTAGATTTAGATATAGGAGGTTTTTGCTTAGTTTAAATATTAGATGGTCGTGTAGAATTATAAATATATCTACTGAAAATCTAAAGAAAAGAAAGAGAATTTTTCATTTTACTTGCTTTTCTTTTCTTTTGCTTATTAAGAATAAAAGGACGGCGCRAGCTGCCAGATGTTTTAATTTAATCCAATTTTCTATGGTTCTAAATCACAGAAAATTAGATTTTAGAATGATTTTTCGTTCGATAAAATCTTTCATAAAACTGGTAGGAGTAGAATGAAAAAACATGCTTAAAGATACATGAGATTAACCTTCCCATGAAATATATAGAGGATATTACATGGGCGCGCGGAGATACGAAATTTATCTTCGAGTGTTGAAAAGATCTCTCACAAATAAG